AAAAAAAAAAAAAAAAAAAAAAAAAAAAAAAAAAGAATTTCACTCCTCAGTCCACAGAGAGCAGGGGTAACAGCCCATCCTGCAGGGCACCTGAGTGAGGGCTGGGGCCACTGTGGGTGCCGCAGAGACTGAGGTGGCATAGGGCGATGGTTGTTGCTGCTGCAGTAAGTATAATGTGTTATACTTAGAGTGATCTTTAAAAAATTGTTTAGGCTTTGAATTCCTTCTAGTGTGAAACCTAAAATTTTGCTGAGGCCTGTCTAGCTATGAAAGTCTAACTAGGTTTTGGAGCCAGATCTGGGTTTGCATTCAGATTCCAGTTGAGCTATGGAGTGTTTAGCAAGTTTCTCTACTTCTCTGAGCCTCAATTTTGTCGTCTGTAGGATGGGGAAACTTAAACCAAAATCACAGGGACCTTTTCAGGATCAAAACTGATGCTATATGTGAAGCAAATAGTAAAGGCTCAATAAATGGTAACTCTCACTGTTTCTTAGGATTAGATTATCCTCCCTAGAATAGTGCCAAAGACATAGTGAGTGTTCTATGAGTGTTGATTGAGATGAAGTGGCTTTATTGCTGGTGAATCAATGTTAATCCAGAGAGGACATCAGCCTACTAAATGTTCAGGTGCTTAGGTTTCTTCCTATGGCCTGCAGATGCAAGTAACATTGCTTGACCATCCTCTGTGCTTAGAAGTCAGCAACTAAAGCTTTGGGGAAGGGCAGGCCAAAGCTTATGGGGTACCTGTTCTTCTCTGCTTCCTCCCATGCCCCCACCAAGCATGCCTGCTGAACGGTGTGACCCCGTTTCCTACAGAGGGAAACTTTGCATCAGAAACAGTGAGTAACTAATGCAGAATCATACGGCTGATCAATCCTGTAATATCTCACAGTGCCTTCTTGGAGAAAGGAAGAGTTTCTCTATATGATTAAAAGCATCAAGGACTCATTCACAGGTAGGTAAGGCATGCTGTCAAATCAAGCAGTATGGGACACAGTCTTGCAGGACAGGTAGAGAGACAGGGCAGGTAAGTGAAGTACCAACGTAAGGGGTAAATGCTGGGTGGGAAGAATAGAATCATCTCCCTTTGCCTCTGGCTTGAGTTTCCTGCTGCCCATCTGTAATGCTGGCACTGACATCATGCCTTGACTGGGAGTATAGTACATCTACATCCGGCAGCGGCAAGAGCTGGACATGGAAGGGCGGAAGATCCATGTGGTCCTGGCCCAGAGCACTTCTGTGCCTCAGTTTCCTGAGAGGTCTGGTGTGGTCCGGGTAAATCAGTATAAGCAGAGCCTGGCGATTGAGAGTGACGGCAAGAAGGGGAGCAAAGGTAAGGCAGGGTGCATGGTGGTGCACTGACTCGGCCACTGTATCGAGACCATGCTGATTGTGAGGCATGTAAAGGGCATGGTGCTTATTCCCTGAGGTCAGAGAATGGGCACAGGTACAAGACGAACAAGGGGCTAACACCTGGAGAGAGACTCCATTGTCTCCCAGAAACCTGAGTGCATGGTGGACGTTCAGATCTGACTCAACCCATTCTGTCCTGACTCTTGCACTGTCCAGATGAAACCAGAACCAGAAGGTTTAGAAACTCACTTCTGGTTGGTCCTCAGGATACATATGTTGGGCCTGAGGGTGGGCAAGAAGGCTGGCAGGTCTTTCTCTGAGGACGCAGCTCCTGCTCAGCAAAACCCTGGAGACCCAGGACCCGCCTGCCTGGAGTTCAGCTCATGTGGAGGAAAGCTGGGAGCAGAGTAGGGGCACTCAGCCACTTGCAGTGCTGAAACAAGTGTGGCCTTGTGTGTGAGGCAGAATCTGAACCTTAGTTCTGACGCTTTTCAGATCTGGCACCTTGGATGTGCCACCTACCCCCTCTGAGCTTTCATGTTATCATTTATAAGCTCAGGTTTAATCTTCCCAACTCCATTGTACCATGAAGGTAACTAATGAGAGATATTAAATGAGATACTATGTCCAGGTGTTGAGCACATTGTCAGGCATTCAATGAGTAGCAGCAAAATGTGCCTGTGACTGTGATTTCAACATGTTTACGTATAAATATTCTCGGAGACAGGGCAGAGAAGTCCTCCTGAACCCCGTACTCCCTCCCTCCTTACTTTGTAAATCTAAAGGGGGACGGTTGGCGGGATTTGTTTTCATCTTTCTAACATTTTTCCTCCTCCTGAATTATCTTTTCTTTCCCCTCTAGTTTTCATGTATTACTTCGATAACCCGGGTGGCCAAATTCCATCCTGGCTCATTAACTGGGTCGCAAAGGTGAGATCCCAGGAGGCAGAAGGGGGGTGTGTGTTTGACAAATGTTGACTTAGTCCAAGGGGCTGTCAGGCTGAAGAGATGTCCTGTCTCAGGCCTAATGAAGCTCTTTTATGAAGCAGCTTGTTGAGTGACTACAGTGAGGACTGAGGATGCCAACACCCAGGATGTGGAGGCTGGGAAAAAAACACAGAATCCTTAGCTGGAATGTCAGACCCTCCCTGCCAGCACAGCCTGCTGGGATCACTGTCTGGATCCTCCCGACAAAAGCCTGCTCCTTGTAGGGAAAATGGGGCCTTTGGACCCTGCCCTGCTTCTGGAGGAGCCTGGAAGGCTGACCTGGCTTGAGAAACAACCAGAGGTGTCCAAGCCTGGAAGCCCCCGGTTTTGTTACTGCTGTTGTGTTTTGTTTCTCTGTAAGGAGAGGGAAGTGCAGTGGTCCTGGATCGCTGCAGACTGCCTGGGGACTTGGCTTGATGGGACTCATTCAGCCTGCTTCCTGGTGGGAGGGCTCAGCACATTCCCTGGGAGAGTGAAAAGCACACAGGCTTTGAGTCAAACACTAGATTTGGAGTCCGGGCCCTGCTTCTGTGTGTGTAATCTAGGGAAGCCATCAATTTCTTCCCTTTCAAAAATGGAGAAGGAAATTACTGACCCTATAGAGTAGTAGTAAGTAAGGCAGTGTCTGGGGAAAATCTTGTACAATGTTCAACACCAACTAAATAATAATATAACCTAACCCTTGGCCCCCACAACCTCACCATTTTCTAATTCTGTGAAAGAAGTCCTTTCTCTGATTTCTGTGGGAGAATCCCACAACCCAACCTAATCCCATTTCCTGTGTTTTTTTCTTTCCAAAAAATGGTGTCTCAGAAACATCTTAGCTTTCACTAGCAAAAGCCAAGACATACAACCTTGTTGCCTGCTGTCTATTCTCACCTGTGCCTTGGGTCTTCTGTCATCTGCAGCAACGCGCTGTTGAAATTGGACAGGGACCCTATTGTCATATTTAATATACTCTTAAGGCCTTCTTTCATTACCTTTGCCATATCCCAAAGAATCAGGATAATGTCCATGAGGACACAGAAATAACAAGTCTCCTTTGCTTTGCAGAATGGCGTTCCTAACTTCCTGAAGGACATGGCAAAAGCCTGTAAGAACTACCGACGGTAACTTCAGAAAGAACATCGTGTGTTGGTGTACTGAAGTCGCTGGAAGTGCCACAGCCCAGCGATGCACAGCTTTCCTTTCCCTCTTCCACCTTCAGAGGCTGGCTCACTGTCCCGCACATCGTCCCCAAGTGTGTTTGCTGATGCCTGGCTTCCTCTCCCCCTTTCCCCACATCGGAACTGGCTGCCTTCTTCCACTATTGAATGTGGGTCAGATGAGGGAAATTTTGCTGGCTTATTTTTAAAAAGGGGAGTCCTCATTGGGTAATACAATCATTCCATTGTGCCATTTTAGGGGGGTGGGTGGGTGGAGGAACGACAACAAATGCAAGGGCAGCCGATCCTGGCAAGCTGGCTCCTTCCAGAATGTGACCTCTTGCAACCCAGAGGGGCTGCTGGGACGCCATCCCCTTCAGTGTGGACTCCTGGTGCCTCAGAATGGGAGACAGGTGCTGATGTCCATCTGTCTGATGCTTTGGTGTTTGATTTGGCCGGGTCTGAGGTGATAATCCAGCAAGTCTCTCCATTATTTGTACTTGTGGAAGATCGTGAGCTATTTTGATTTCAAACTATGTTGAAACACATGGCAGGCCTGATTAAGCACTTGATGTGGTAACCATGTTTTCTCATCACCTATGTCTGGGATTCTCTTTCCCACCTGCCACTGGAGAGAGGCTGACCAGACCTCACTGGCTCTGCATTTTATCAGAAACAGAGGCATCATGATGCTTCTCACTGGTAGTTTGCAAAAGTCAAGAAGCTGTGTGCATAGCTGTGATAAAGTATCTGTATGCAATAATATGACTTTCCTTTTCTAGAATGTTTGGAGATACTGAAGGGATAAGAGTTCACATCCAGGGAAATATTAATTAGTGGATTGTTTGACTCTACAACTTTTTTCTCAGGAATTCTACCTAACATGTCTGCCTCTTCTACCACTAAAGACTTCCAGTTTCCTGTGTTCTCCTGAATTTTGGTAGATACTGTGGCTAAAGGCATAGCCTTCATGATCTCAGGGAAAAATTTTAACCACTGTGTGTGATGGTACTGAATCTTGATTAGTTGTCATAGAACTTCAGGATGTAAAGCCAGAAGCAGAGGATTTTATAAAATGGGATACCTCAACGTATGTGTTCTCTCTGGGAAGAAAATAGATCAAACACCAATAAATACAGAGTGACATAAATTTATCCTGTTTGTAGTTTTCTTTGTACCTTGTTCCTTTTGTGAGAATGAACTAGTTGGGTCTCATTTGTTTGCAAGGCACATCCAACCTCACTAATGAACTTGAACATAAAAAAGAATTTTAGGTGTGCTTACATGCAAGGCCAGGTGTAGGGTGGCCTCAGGTCAGGGTTGATATTAGAATGATGTTCAAATTCGGCTATGTTTGTCTTCAGGTTATCTTTGATGTAGGGCTGTGTCTGGTGGCAGGATTGTGCTGACAGCAAAGGGTAGGCCCACAGCTTCCCAGGCTCTTGCTGAGCCAAAGAAAGGCAGCATTTCTTTCTAGTAGATCCCACACCATCCTATGACTCTTTCTCAACCATGTGCCTGTCCCTTCCCAGTCACTGTGGTCATATGGATAGACTTATCCAAGTAGTGAATACCTCATAAATTTACCATTAAAAATCATTATCAGTAATATAGCTGGAATTTAAGTTTAGGTAAGTGAAATCTAAAAGTCTCTTGTAACAGAGGGTCAGGTGTAAATTTTAAGTATAGAGGAACTGAAACACAGGCACTACGATCACAGTCTTTGAGCAGAGAATCAACATGAAATGGTGTCCTGCAAACCATATCTTTACACAGTGTTTAATAAACAGTATTTTAATAAAACACTTTACACAGTGTTTAATAAAAAAGTATTTTTCCTCCTCTAAAGTTTCTGGTGGCCAGAGTGCGACCCCCTGGGACACGCCCCTCACTCCAGGGCCTGAGGATGGGGGATCCTAACAAAACTGGCAGAAGCCTGTGAAAGGTAAGAATTCTTCACCAGAGTTCGCCCTCCCATTCCCATCTCTGTCTGTGGGGCCTGGCTGAGAGACAAAGGTAAAGTTTCATGTTGTCCCTTCCTTTCTAAATTCGGATTGGCAGGCAAAAAACATTTGTAGGAGTGAGGTCTTTGAATGATGACTGCTGTATGTGCTTTTGTGTACTCACTGGGTGTCAGACCTTTCCCTCACTGGTTATCAGGACGATGTTGTCTTCTTGTTTGTCTCATTTGGTGTCCTGAGGACTTGGCTTGGCAACAGTCAGGTTGGAGCCACCGATAATATAAGCTGTACAGAAGTGTGGGATGCTTTCCATGTGTGGCTGGGATCCTACCCACTGTTGCCAACTCTCAGTGGAATGGTCTTTCTCTGGGTTATCTCTGGGAGTGGCTGTGGGTCTTGGAGCATAGGATCTGAGCCTCTGGTCCTTATGCGGTTGTTTATTCATGCTGGCAATATTTATTGCTTGTCCAAGGCTGAAACTTGACGAGATATGCAAAAGGACTTTTTTTTTTCCACTTTTCTTCTTTTTAAATTAGTTCTGGGGTCAGTCATTGGCCAAACTGGAAGCTGGTACTCAGAGCCTGACAAGAAATTTGTTTTAGGCCTTCCCCCAAGATAATTGAAACCATAGAGCCAGAAAGAAGAAAAACATTCTGGCACCTTTGTGTAAGGATTTACTAGAACATTCCAAAGAAACCCAGCTCTGAACATATTCTAGAACATAGGAATCTTCTGATTTCCATCCTAGTTGAAGGTCTCCCTGATGCAAAGAAGTAAATTGAGGATAATGTAGTTGGATGGGTGGGACAGTGTCCATAGCATTCTGGTGGCAGCTCAGTTCTTTGAGGAATTAAAGGCAATTATGCATATCTTACAAATTGAGTATAAACACAGAAATGTGGTTCTGGAAGCCACTCGAAGTCCTCTTATCCTTTTTTCCAGTCCTTAAATCTCTTCTAATCATTAGAAAGGCTCTCAGATTTTGTAAAAGATCTGGACTTGGAGAACAAGAGTCTTTTTTGATGGCACTTGCATTTTTCTCTGTGCCTATTGAGATATAAGTATTTTATGAAAACTTTTCCAGGAACCAAGGGAGTTCTTATCAGAAGGAGAAAAAAAAAGGCTCTTATGGAACATAGGTCTAGGAAAAATCTTAAAAGTCTCTTCCACAAACATTAATAAAAAGCTGTCTTAGCAGGTAAACTTATTTCGTCCTCCAGAAACACAGTTCCATCCAACTGTCCTTTCATAAACTAGTGTCCTTTCATAAACTTTTGCATTATCATAACGGTCTCATGGCTAAATTGTAAAAAAAAAATTTTTTTTCTAATGTTTTACTTATTTTTGCGAGAGAGATAGAGACAGCGTCAGCAGGGGAGGGTCAGAGAGAGAGAATGCGATACAGAATCCAAAGACAGGGTACAGGCTCTGAGTTAGCTGTCAGCACAGAGCCTGACTCGGGGCTGCAACCCACAAACCAGGAGATCATGTCTGAGCCGAAGTCGGACACTTAACTGACTGAGCCACCCAGGTGCCCCTCATGGCTAAAATTTTTAAATGAAGGTTGTAAGATCTGTTTGAGCTGTTTGTATATTTATGTATACTTGTGTATTTATGTTACCTACTTTGGTTTTTTTTTTTGTACTTCTGACTGGTATTGTCAAAATTAGGGTTATTTTTGAGTTTGAATTTAAATTCCAGTTAGTTAACATACAGTGTAATATTAGTTTCAGGTGTACAATATAGTGGTTCAACACTTCCCTACATCACCCAGGGCTCGTCACAAGTGCAAGCCTTAATCCCCATCACCTATTAGCCTCCTACCACCTCCTCTCTGGTAACCATCAGTTTGTTTTCTATAATTGAGTCTGCTTCTTGTTCGCCTCTCTCTCATTCTCTCCCCTCTGCTCATTTGTTTTGTTTTTTAAATTTCACATATGAGTGATATCATAAAGTATTTGTCTTTCTCTGACTAACTTTGCTTAGCATAATACTCCGTAGCCTTATCCCTGACATTGCAAATGGCAAGATTGCATTCTTTTTTAATGGCTGAATAATATTCCATTGTGTGTGTGTATATCACATCTGCTTTGTTTATTCATGAGTCAGTGGACCCTTAGGCTGTTTCCACTCTTTGGCTATTGTAGATAATGCTGCTGTAAACATCGGGGTGCATGTATCCCTTTGGGTAAATACCTAATAGTGGAATTGCTGGATCATAGGGTAGTTCTGTTTTTAACCTGCCAAAATTAATTTGTAAAGAGTTCTATTTAATTGGCCTAAAGACAAATATGCATTATATAAATATCCTCTGAGAAATATAGAAACTAACCCAAATATTTTGCAAGTTCAAATGATAGGCCTCAGTAAATAAAAGCTAGTTTAAGTTTATTGGTTTAATTAAAACCAAAATATCTTTAGAGTTATCAGTATTAAATGTAATACTTTTATTTGCCTCAGTTTACTAAAAGTCGAACAAGGTCATATTAAATTCATATCAAATTCTGTTACAGAAATTTTCAGCAAGAAACATAACTTTAAATGATTAGCTGTTTAATATCAAACAAAATTTTCATGAATCAACTAAATGTAACTGTTAAAAATAAGTAAGTAGATTTAAGTATGACAGAAGTTTATAAATGAGCTTTTCCACTATGATTATGTTTTATATGTTTAGTTAAAATTAGTTTCCCAAATCTTTTTGGGACATCTCAGCCTACATAATCATGTGAGTCACTTTTGTATGATAAATCTTTGAGTTTGGTTAGAAATTTGACAAAATTTAGGGAGGATTTTTGTTCACAGATGAAAGGAATAGCCTGAGGCATAGCAGAGGCTGGAGAGTGAGAGACAGATAGCTATGGGAAGTTGGGGGTGGTCGCTAATAACAGCTACATTTATTGACCGCTTAGGAAATGTCAAGCACAGGCCTAGCACTTGGTGTCCATTCGATCATTTCACCCTTGTTCACCTGCAAAGACTCGAAGAGTGCATGGTACCTCGTCTTGATCCCAATGATGTTCTCCACATAAACAATACAAAACATATTCAGACTGTCTGCTGAGGGAATGAATGAATCCATGGAGCAACAACCCTAAAGCCCTGTGATCTCAGTTTGACCGCCATGTCAGAACAATGGATCCCTCTGCCTCCGATTTGCAGTTAATCCTGTGTTACACTTAATTCTTACCAGAGAATGGACTTTGAGAACAAATGCATTTTTAGAAAAATTTTAAAGCTAGAATTCTTTTGTCTTTCAGTTATTTTGTGGTTTAAAATATTTTGCTTTATTAAAATTTTTTAAAAATCTTTTTTGCTACCCATTTTGATTCCACACCCTTGAAGGACTTCTACCAAATATCTGAAAGTCCACACACTGGAAAGGTATCATTGATTTTACTGGGGGAGGGGAGAGAGGCAGGAGGCAAAGCAGAAGAGAAGGAATTTTTCATTTGCAGGCCAGAACCCCGAATATTCAGAGAACGTATATTCCCCTAGGAACAGATTTCTTCTGAGAAGAAGCCAATGGATACCAAGCAGGACAAAAACGTCACTTAGAGCTCAGTGAAGGACGTACAGCAACTTTTGTTTTATGTCAGACAGCTTATGAGGGGCTGGATCTGTTTTTAGGTGGTCATGGATTCTGCTTCCCAATGAGTGTGGTGTTCTATTTCCAAGGGAAAGTGAGTAATGGTCCTCATCAGGAGCCTGTATTTCAGGCCTGGTGCTGGAGAATTACTGGACTGCTGAGAGCTTCCATGTAGAGTTCACCCTCCATTCTACCACTTGGCTCCTGTTACCCTTTGAGCTACTTTCAGCTCTTGTAAACAGTGTTTGCTTTCCATGACAAGCTAGGAAATGTGAGTGTGTGGCGACGGTGCTGGGTCCCTGGAGAGGGGCTTGCCAGGGAGGCTTCTTCCCCATACCTCATTTCAGCATGTAACTTGCTGTCGAGGTTGGGCAATCACTGAGGCTCCATGTCTTCCCCTCCTATTCTGTTCCACTAACTTATAAAAGAGCCAGAGAGCCGCTTGAGGACTGGCGGATCAGCCAGATGTTTCCTGAGCAAGACAGCGTGCATTTCCCCTTGCACATCATCTTGCGAGAGAGCAGGGCTGGCAGGGCACTCACCCTGGCTGACATCATTGGGCGAGGTAGCCTGGGGAAGGGTTTCAAAGCAGAGCAGCTT